ATTCAGTGTGGGCAGGGACCCTCATGGCCAGCAGAGGCAGCTGGGACTCCCATGGCCAGCGCAGGCCACAAGGATCCACTGCCTGCACCAGGGCGGGACGCTCAGAACTGTTCAACAATGGTTATTCTCTGTTCAGGGGTAATTAAAGCCAACCCCATTGGCAGTTAAATATCACCTTGCTCCCAGCCTGGCTGTGGTCCCGCTCGGGGCTGGTGCACTGGGGGTGCTGTGTGTGTGCAGGTGCAGGCTGGCAGTTTGCAAATATGTAGTTCATTGTGAGAAATGTGGACCAGAAAATGCTGCACTTTTTTTTTTTTTTTGCTGACTCTGAGGCTTCTATATGAGAAGGTAACGCTGCAGGGCCATCCTGAGCCAGGACATAACAAGGTAAATCAGTTTTTAGGGAAGATGCTCCGTGGCAGGGGCTCTGCCCGGTGCTCTGGCAGCTCCTCAGCAGTGGCTGCTCGGGGAGGAGCCCAGCTGTTGGGGGGCTCTGGAGCCCGGGTCTGGGGGGGTTCTGGAGCCCTGGGGCTGTCTGACTTTGGTGGAAGCCTGCAGCAGTGCGTGTCCTCTGCTGATGTCCTCCCTGGGATGAGCGATGATGCAGCGAGATCTTGCTTGCTTGGCATCCCGGGATTGGGTGGAGAGCTGCTCAAAGTCAGGGCAAGGTGCTTTGTTCAGGCACTCACTGCAGATTTCCAGGTGTAAACCCTCATCAAGGTGCCCTTGTTGGTGTTGCAAAAAATCCACAGTTTTGGTTGGGTGTTTTTTTTGCAATTTGTGAGCAGATGCTGAGGGTTCCTGGCCACTGCTGCTTTGCCTGGGGTATGGGCAGGTGCCTGTGTCTTGGGGTCAGTCCCAGCCGTGTGGGGATGAAGAGGAGCCCTCGCAGAGGGAGGGTGAGCAGCTGCTCCCCAATCCCACCTCCTGCCGCGGGCAGGGCTGAGCTCAGGTAGGGGGAGGATGGAAAACAGTATGGAAGCATGGTCCCCTCTGGAAACTTAAGAGACTGGGAATGGAATATTAAATAAACTAAAAAGGAAGCAGCTGGCAAGTTAATGCCCATCGAGGATAAAAGATGATGAGTCCAGAAATAGAGGCTGTTAATTTACAGGACAGTCATTGCTGACCTTCTCAGGGATGCAACATCTGACAGGCAGAACTTGTTGCTGCAGGAGTTTGACTCTTCCTTAGGCCAGGTTTGATCTGTGGAATGAAGTGTAGGCATGAGGGTAACCTGGGCTGCTCCTGTCTCACTTACACAGTGTGACAGAGGTAGAGCAACTGTTTGGTGTGGAGCACTTTGCCACGTCAGGTAATACATTGACATCTCCCCTTCCCGTGTGTGATTTATATGAACGTCCTGTGTCAGTTTAGAGCCCATCTGGGAAATCAGGTGGACAAAATGAGAAGGTGGGATGCATTAGGAGTTTTTCATTAGGGTTTGGGCTGAGAGAGGGGGAGGGAAGTGTGCACTTGGAGTCAGGGTCTGACTGGAAACACTTTGGGGGTTCAGGCAGCCCCGGCTCTGTGCTCAACAGAACTTTTTAATCAGAATTTCAGTATGTCAGTGGGGTTTACCCAATTTAGGATATGAATTTAAAGGTACTTTTGGGATGTGATCAGGGATGCTCTAAAGAGAAAGACCTCACCTACCCTCACTCTGCTGGGAGCTTGCCAATGCCGATGCATTTGAAATGGGGTGAAAAATCCCCATTTTCTTCCACTTTGGGAGGAACCAGGGGAGCATCCCTGGCCTGGTGGGCTCTGCCTCCCTGGGAGCTGGCAACAGCTGGGTCCTGGATGGGACCATGCCAGGATGGCAGAGCTGATCTCAGCCTCCGTTAGGAAACCCTGCAGTCAGCCCTGCATAACTGCATTAAGGTATTTCCTTAATTAGATTTACTAAGTATGCAGGATTCTAATTCTTTCTTTTCCTTCTCTCTTAATTTGCCTAATGAGAAAAACAAAGAAATAAAATCACTAAAGCGATGCCTGTGCTTCCTTCTGGAGGCGGGTGTCCAGCAGGCTCTGGAGGCTGCTCTCACCCACCCTGGGCACTGGTGCCTGGCTGTGGCCATGGCCAGGGTGGCTGCAGGGGCACTGGGGGCAGGCAGAGCTGCCTTGGTGCCTGCTGGGCACCCCTGGGGAGCAAGCACAGCGCTGTGACCTTTGGTTGTGCTGTCCCTGGTCTCCCGTGGTGCCAGGAGAGGTGAGTGCAGGGTGAGCTGCACGGCATCCCCAACCCTGGTCTTTGCTGACAGGGGCACTGTGACCTTTGCTGTGGTCTGGGCTCTGCAGAGACTTGTACTCTCAGTGCCAGCTGGGCACTGTGTCTCAGTGTGGGGCTGCCCAGAGCCCCCGCTGGCTCTGGGGTCATTTCAGGGGGATCCTTGGGTTGCAGCCTGGTGCACAAAGGCGTCCTAATCCTCCTCATGATTCATTTATCATTCCTGAGGGTAATCTGTTTGGGAAATGGGCCCTAGCCCTTGACCCCGGTGCTGATGGCAGATGGAATCACTGGCGTCTGTGGTTGGACTTCAACAGAACAGATTCCCAGTGTGGAGGCCAGTTCCAAGTGGTGGTTGGGGATGGGCTTGTTTTGCTCTCCCAGAACTGTAGGAGCAGTTCCAGCAGTTTGGCCCCAAAGAAGCAGCCAGCATGTGACAGAGGAACGTGTTGTTAAGTTGGGTGATTTTATAATACTTAGAATACGATGCTATGGCAACCCACTACAAATCCCAGATCAAATCAAATTATTTGTGCGCATCCCTATAACTTTAATCTTTGCAAAGTCGTATCCATTTTATGCCTTTGAGGCCGCTGTGCAGCTGAGTGCAATCAGGCAGAGCTCAGGGTTCAAAGCAAGGAGAGCAGAGGATGAGTGGTTTGCTCCAGATCAGGCTGTGCTTTAGTGTCCTAGAAAGTCAAAGAGCAAACAGGGAAAATCTGTCATCCTCGGCATTTTTCAGCAGTGGAGTCATGGTGAGATTGAGGAGAGCAGAGAGGGAAGGAGCTAGATAAACAGTATGGGTGGGCAGGACAGGAATTCTGCTATTGCCCCACATTGCCTCAATTCATTTCTTGCATGGAAAAATTGGAAGATGCCAACAGCTCAAAAGAGGTGTAACAATGCAAATTTAACCTGCTCAGAGACAAAAAAAAAATGAAAGAAGATGTATTTTGGTTTAATATAATGTGAAACATCAGCCCTTGGTCTGGATTCACGTTTGGACACAGCCTGGTGGGTGTTCCTCTCAGCTGCTCTGGCTGTGGCTGCACTGCTGGCACAGTGTGAGGGGCACTGAGTGTTACTGGTCCCACTTTACCTTCCCAGCATCCCCACTGCCTCCCTGCTTCATCCCCACTTCATCCCCTCAGCATCTCCTGGCTTCTCTGTGCTGCAGGGCCCTGCCAAGGAGGAGCTGCAGCCACCTGAGCCTCCCCCAGGACCCGCAGGTGATTGTCACCTGCTGTCACAAGTGCTGGGACCTGGGAGGAGAGGACAGAGTGGGTGGGAGGGCAGGGCCCAGGATGGTGGGGCTGGCAGTGGGGGCCAGTGTTTCCAGAGGTCAGGTGTGCACCCTCTGGCAGGAGCTCCTGGAGAGGGCCCCAGCAGGCACCAGTGCCTGCTCTGTGCAGGCTGTGCTGTGTGGAGCCATCCCGGGGCGGGCTGCCATGGGAACCAAACCTCGTTATGGCGAGATAAACAGTTGGACATTTTGGCCCGGTTTCTGCAGGACTAACCTGGCAGGGACGAGAGGAAACTAAATTAAATCTCAGATTTTCTGACTCCCCGAGGAGCATCTGGCAGTGCTGCTGTGTGATGGCGTGGCTGCCTGCCCGGGCACCGCCGGCTGAGAGGGATGGGGATTTTGGTGAGGGGAGGGTTGAGGCCACGCCTTTCTGAGGTTTGGGGGGCTTTTGTGCATGGCACGGGGTCTGCTCCCTGCTTCCCCGGGATCTCGCATCTTCACGATGCTTCTGCTGCCTCCACATGCAGTACCTGTGCCAGGTGCCCTGTGGTCAAAGGGGCCCTTGGCTGGGTGCCTCCCAACCCATGCTGGGGTGTCCCTGGGTGTCATTGAGCTGGGAGCCTTCTCTGCTGCCAGAAGGCTGCTAAGCCGCAGGTCCTGCCCTGGTAGGGAAGGTGCTGGAGGGAGGGAAGCCGTGGGCAGGGGCTGTCACGGGAACCCAGCCCGGCTGTCCCTGCACCACCAGCACCACACCAAGGGGCAGCGAGGGCTCACAGCCCGCCCTGGGGCTTTTCAGGTCACTTGTATCACTTTCCAACACTGTCTGTTGGGTTTTTTCTCAGATTCCAGATATTACTGTACAGGCAGCCACATGCCACGGCTTTGCCAAGGGAGATAACCCTTATCTCCTGCCTCGCATGCTGGCTCGGGCAGTGGGGAGGGCTGACACGCCTGTGTTTGGTTTTGCAGGAAGCAGGAGCTGCTGAACAGCGCGGATGTGACGGTCCCGGAGCGGCCGCTGTCCCCCCCCCTGACGGCCCCCCCGACCATGAAGGTGAGTGAGGGGCACGGTGGGGCACAGTGGGGCACGGTGGGGCCGGGCCGTGGGCGCGCGGTCCAGCCCCAGGCGCCGCTTTTGGAAAGCCGGGCTGGTGAGGAACGGCACTTCCAACGCAGCAGCTGCACGGATTAGGGCTGTTCCCGCAGGAGCAGCAGTAGGTGGTTTCTGGAATTCAGCCTGTTCCGACACCATCCATCCCTCCATCCACGGCTCAGGGCCCGTGTGCCAGCGGCCCATCCTGCGCCGCCGCTCACGTTATGCAATCGTGATGACGAGCAGGGTGCTGAGTTCCAGTGCTGCTCTCCTTCCAGTAACCCTCCCCGGGCACTGTGGTGGGTGGCTCTGTGCCAGCATGGGGCAGACGGTGCATCCCTGCCCTGGTGGGCGCTGCTGCAGGGGCCAACCCACCCCTCCTTCCTGCCACTCGGCCGCTGCTGAGCTGTGCCAGGCATAGGGAACTCCAGAGGTGCCAAACAGACATAAACCCATGTGTTTTGCAGGCTGGAGGTTGTCTGTGGGCCTCTGGGTTTGTTTGTGTGTCTCCTTGTTTGGAGGTTCCCAGTGCCCCTGCTGCCACTTTGGTCTCGCTGCCGTTGGTTTGAGGCAGGCAGAGGGTGGGATGTATCTGCTGATATTTAAGAGGTGGACCTCAAGGTGCCTGAGACAGGAGATGTCAGGGATCAAGGAGCCATCAGCTTGATGAAGGGGAAGCAGAGTTGACTGTGGCTGGGAGGCAGAGCTGGTTCTCAGGAGTCAGTTGGGTTCTCTGGCCAGTGTGGAGGATGTGAGTGGTCACTCAGCCCCGGCACAGCTGAGCCTGCCACGAGATGCTGCACAGCATGAGTGCATTGAGTCCAAGTCCTTGGTTCTCATCCTGCTCTGCCCTGTTCTTGGTAGACTCTAAGGTGCTTCCCAGAGATCTGTGCAAGGCTTAGTGTCACAGAGAGGGATGGGGTAGGCATGGGTGTTGGGACAGCAGCGAGTCACTGGCAGCTGAGGCTGCCTGTGCTTTGTCAGAGCCATGCAGGCCATTCTGGCCAGAGAGGCTTGTTCTGCCTCCTCCCTGGTGCTGCTGGGATGGGAAGGCCCTGTTGGTGCTGGTGCCTGTTCTGCAGCTCCTGAGCCAGCAGCTTGGGTTGTCCTGCACTGACTCTGAGAGGATTCACATCTGGGATTCATTCAGCTCCTTTGGAAGGGCTGTGGCTTTTTTTGTGCACACAGATTTCCAGGTAGAGAGGGATTTTCTGTCTCTTGCCCAGTGGCTGGTTTCTCCTGCCACTCTCCCAGGAGAGTGCCCACCTGAGGGGCACAGTGCATCTCGCCACAGGGCCACGAGTCCCTCCCTGGGGCCGTGCATCCCCGTCGTGGGGCTTTGCATTGCGTCCCAGCAGGCACCTGCCCGTCCTCTGCCAACCCTCAGTGCTTCCTGCCCGACCTGTTCCGGGCACTTCGCCTCCCCGGGGAGCCACCCTTTGAAATAACAAGGCAGCCGTGCCCCCTGTGCCTCTGGCTTGGGGAAACATTAACGAGGGAGGTGTGGGGCCGGGCAGGGATGGCCGGGCTCAGCCGCTCTCACTGGGTGCCCCTGAGGAAGCCCTGCCATGGCAGCAGCTGTGGCTGCATGGCCAATGCAGGCGGGGGCTGATGCCGAGAAGGTAATGGATATAATGGATATAATGGATATAATGGATATAATGGATTTCTGCCGGGGCTGCTGGTGAGTGCTGTGATGTGTGGAGGTGAGTGCTGGGGAGGAGAACTGGCACAACTTGCTGCCCTCCATCCATGGCAGCTCCTGCCTGGTGCAGGGTTATTCTGGGTGTCATTTTATTTGTAAACCTCTGAAGCGGGCACTTATTGGCCACTGCCAGTGGCAGAAGCTGCCAGCTGCAACTTCTCCAAGTGCTCCTTGTTCACGGGGGTACGCCACTAAACTCACGATCCAGGACAAGGTTTGTGTTGTGAGGGTGGCAGGGCAGCTCTGCCCGCTCAGGGCTGCCTTTGGTGTCGTTGCAGACACCAGTGCAGGTTCAGTTTGGAGCAGGAGCCCAAGCCCAGTGAGTGCAGTGAGTGCCATCCCCTCTGCTGGCTGCACCCTCAGTGGGTGACGTGGCTTCTTGCCGGCGCCACAAAGGTGTCATTGTACACACACTGTAATTACCAGAATGTTTGTGGCCTGGTAAAGCCAGCTCTGGGTGTGCACAATGCCCTGAAGGGCACAGACCCCTATGCTTGGTTCAGTACCTGAGGGCATTTCCTGCAGGACTCGCTGTAGCAGGTGGATCTGGTGCCACGGTGGGGGCAGATCCTGCGTCTGACTGCCTGAAACTACCCAAATTGACTCAAAGAACATTTATACTTGGAGACAAGGAGATCCAAACTAAGCTCAAACTAAGGAAAAGCCTTTTTAAAGAGTGTCCAGCTGAGGGCACAGAGCTGTCTGAGACAAGGTTCTGTTTAACTCCCGCAGCAGTGGTAGGTCAGGGTGGGCTCAGTCTGAAGCTGGAAACACGGCCAGGGCTGTGTGTGAGCCACAGCTGCCCCACCTGTGCTGGCAGCTGGAGACTGCTCCTGCTGTAAATTTGACCTTTGCTCACTGCAATTATTAAAGGACAATCTCTCTCAGGTTTTCCTTTGGCCTTTGATTTTCATTTCTTCATCTCCTCCCCTGTTTTTTTCCTCTTTTTTTTGTGTGTTTTGAGAAATTCAGTCTATTCTATGAGCTCACTAAAAATCACCCCCCAGGCCTTTCCCCTTTTCACCACGATCCCTTCTGCCCCAGATCCCACAACCCTCCCCTGCAAACTGTTTCTGACAGCTGGTAGCATGGGAGCTGCAGGTCCTGCTTTCTGCTCTCCACCCAGACTGGCAGTGTCTGCCATGGCCCAGCCTCTCCTCAGCCAGGATCACTGCACCTGGAGCAAGGCAGGAGTAAACACGGGTTAGAGGAGAGACGGGGCTGCTGTGTCACACCTCCAGGAAAGCCACTTACTGGTTTACTGGGAGTGCCACAACATTTACAGCCACAGTTTGACTGGGTAATTTATTTGTGTGTACCTGAGAGCAGGCAAAGCTGGGCGAGGGATCAGGGTTGTCCAGCTGAGGTTCAGCTGTGCTGAAGGGGTGGCCCTGGAGCAGCTTTTCATCGTGCTGGCTGCCACCAGGACCAGGGAAGCACAGGTAGATCGGGGTGGGAAAGGGGTGCTTCACCAGGGGGGAGCGTGGCTGAGGGACTGGCGTGGTCTTGGCTCCTCTCGTGGAGAGGTGATGATGGGCTGTCCGAGCTCTGGTTGGGTTCTTGTCCCTGGCCCCCCTCACCCAGGGCTCGGGGCCGTGTGCGTGCGGTGGCTGCGGGTCCTCCCCTGGCACTGGCCATGCAGGGCGGCCACAGCCCTGGAGCCACAGCAGGATGGGCTGGCTGTGGGACTGGTGCTCTGCAGAGGGCACACACAGGGTTTCTAATTGGAGTCAGGCTCACTAATCTCTTTAGTTCGCTTGGCAAGTGGGGATTAACCCTGCACTGGCAGCCCAGCGCCACCAACGCTGCTGTGATCAGGAAAAGAAATTACTGCAGAGCACTGACCAAAGCATGCACACAGCTGGGGAGCTGGGGGGGCCGAGGGCTGCTGGGGAAGAGAGCTGCAGCAGTGATGCTGATCTCTGAGTTGGGTTGCACGGGAGCTCTGGGGGTCACAGCTGCCCGCTCGTGCTTGGGGAGCAGGACAAGTGCCACGGCCTCGCTCGGCCCCTCTTCCCAGGCTGCTCTGAAAATGGAACGTGGGGCAGGAGCCATGGGGTAGGCAGGGAGCTGCTGACCCTCACTGTGCTGCCCACAGTGGTGGTGGGGGCACTTGGTGTGGGATGTCTGCAGGCCCCAACTCTGCTCAGCAGCAGGACTGGATGGGGTATCTTGAGGCCACTCTCCCTCAGTTATGGATAGAGTCTCTTCCCATTTCTGCTGAGGGCCAGAGCCAGGGTGCCCGGTCTGGGGTGGGGACCCAATGTCCCTGCTGTGATGTGGCTTGGGCTGGCTTGCCTCATGTCCACTTTCATCAAAAAAGAGATTTCCTTCTTTTCTTTTCAGTCGGCAGAATTCTTCGAAATGCTGGAAAAAATGCAGGTGAGCAGCACTGTGCATGCCAGAAATAGCAGGATATTCCCCTCAGCAGAGCCCCTGAGGGCAGAGGCCCCACAGCACCTCCTACATTACTGTGCTGGGAGGCTCATCCTGAGCACAGGCTCCCCTTCCAGCCACTTGGGTCAGAGCTATCTCCGTGTAGCAAAATACCCTCATGTTGGTGGGCCAACCACCTGTGCTGCTGAAAACATCTTCATTATTTGATCCATTCATTTTGTTCCAAACAGGCACCAAAACTGGAAGAACAGAGGTCTGGAAGCCAGAAACACAAGGTTGGTTGATTTTTGTTTCTTGTGGGGATCTCTTTGTGTGTCCCCCCACCCACCTCAGAGGTTTAATGTGATCATCAAAGGCAGTCACTCAAAGGGCTGGAAAGGATTTGGATGTTATCTGAAAATAAGACACTGATTGAATTGCAAAGATGGGAATTCAGTGCCTGTAAATCCCTAATCCAGCTTTATGTCCAGGCTGGAGCATTTCAGTGTGGAGCTGTGTAAAAGGGTTGGAAGTTGCACCGAGAGTGGAACCCCCTTCAGACAGGACTCACCCTGCATTGCTGCTCACCCCGAGCATGGAGAGGTCCCCCTGGGCAGCACAGGGGCACCACTCCAGGGCTCACCCCCCTTGCTGTGGCCTCCCCTGACAGGGGAATCTCTCTCCATTGGCACCTGGCACAGGGCAGGGGCTGGGAGGGACCAGGGCTGGAGGTGCTCCCCAGGCTGTGTGTGCAAGGCTGGGGTGAAGAGAAGGCTGGTGGGAAACATGTGGTCATAGATGGTGTTTTGGTTCCTTTTTCCAGGAAGACTACATCCCATACCCCAGCATTGATGAGGTGGGTGCACTGAACCCCCCCGAGCGCCTCCTGGGCTGGACTCGTTCCCCTGGTGCCAGGACTTGGGTCTGCTGCAGGAGGGGGCAGAACGTGGGGCAATGAGCTCTGCACCCCACACCCACACCCCTGTCCTGCCTGACCCCGCGTGGCACGTGTCTCTCCAGATCCTGGAGAAGGGCAGCCCATACCCATTGATCATCCTGCCCCAGTTTGGGGGGTACTGGATCGAAGACCCAGAAAACCTTGGCACACCCACCTCGTCTGACAGCAGCATCTGCGAGGAGGAGGAGGAGAACCTGAGCCCCAGCACCTACGGCTACAAGCTGGAGTGCAAGGGAGAGGCCAGAGCCTACCGCAAGCATTTCCTGGGGAAGGTGGGTGCCCCCGTCCCTCGGGGCTGAAAATGGCACACCCTGGCCCAAGAAAAAGTCTCCAGTTGTGAACAAAATGGGTAAATTTTGCAGCTTCCTCCTTTGCAAGGAGTGAAGGCACCAAGGGGTTCCCAGCATGGCAGTGATGGCCACACACACACAGAGCCTTCACCCCCGGCCCCACAGCCACAGGGATCCCACAGGGATCCCAGGAACCAGGCTCTGAACCTCCTGGCTGTGGGGACCCTGGGCTTGACCAGATGCACAGGCCCAGCGTGGCAGCCCCTGCCCTCTTGCTCACAGTCCTGTAATCCTCCTTGGCCCTCTGAACACACCAGGAGCAGGGTGCTGAAGCCACTGGCAGAGGGATTCCAGCCCTGGTCCTGGCAGGGGGGTGAGAGTGTGTGTCCCTGAGGGACGGGAGGGTTGCAGGGTGGCAGGTGAGGGTCCGGGCAGTGTCCTTGCCATCCATAAGCTGCTTCCCTGCCACTAACATGCTGTTTTCTATTTTTAGGATCATTTAAATTTCTACTGTACAGCCAGCAGCCTCGGAAACCTGATCCTTTCTGTTAAATGTGAGGAGACAGATGGCACAGAATATTTAAGGGTTATACTCAGGTATGGAAAAAGATGCCTTGTTTAACAAAATATTCTCTCTTTGGGAGTCCCCAGTTTCTACAGCAAATGCTTGAGCCAGACTGGCAGCAATGTGGAGGGGGTCAGGGTGGGATGGGAAGCAGTGGCAGCATCCTTGTGTTTCTGCACTGGGACTGCCCAAACCTGATAACAAACATGAGACTTTGATCTGCTGCTAAACCCTCTGGAACTGAGTGTAAACCTCTGCGGGTTTAATCTTCCTGGGATAACACCAGTCACATCTCTCACCATCCCTCTGTAAGCTGACAGGACCCATTTTGTCATTTCCCTCCAAACTATGAATATTTGAAGAGCTGCAGAGACGAGAAGACAAATTGAGCCTTTGCTCACTAACCAGGCCCAACAAATGCAGCACAACAGCGTTTCCCAACAGCTGCATGGCTTTGCTGTGGACATTCCCTGACGTCTGTCTGCTCATTGTCCTTTCTTTGCTAGGTCTAAAGTGAAGACGTTGCACGAAAGGATCCCACTGGCAGGACTCAGCAAGCTCCCAAGCATCCCCCAGATTGCAAAGGTAAAATGCCCAGCTGGGCTGGGACACCTGCAGCAAAGCCTGGGCCACTGCACTAGGGCAGGGTTGGGATGTGCTGGGCAGCGTTGGGTGGCGTTGGGATGTGTGAGGATATGTTGGACAGTGCTGGGCAGTGTTGGGATGTGTGAGGATGTATTGGACAGTGTTGGGTAGTGTTGGGTGGCGTTAGGATGTGTGAAGATGTGTTGGACAGTGTTGGGCAGCGTTGGGATGTGTGAGGATGTGTTGGACAGCACTGGGATGTGTGAGGATGTGTTGGACAGCGTTGGACAGCATTTGGATGTGTGAGGATGTGTGAGGATGTGTTGGACAGCGTTGGGCAGCATTGGGATGTGTGAGGATGTGTTGGACAGCGTTGGGTGGTGTTGGGATGTGTGAGGATGTGTTGGACAGCGTTGGGCAGCATTGGGATGTGTGAGGATGTGTGAGGATGCGTTGGACAGCGTTGGACAGTGTTGGGCCACGTTGGGCAGCAATGCCTTGGCTCTCAGGTCAAGGGGCACTTGGGTGGTGCTATGTGCTGGCCCCACTGTTGGTTTCCTGCTGATCCCAGGCAGGTCACTGGTTGATATCTGGGAGAAGAGATGAGAAAGTGGCACCACCTTTGACCCACAGAGAGACCTGAGACTTGTCTTGCTGCATCCTCAGCTGGGTGCCAGCCAGGCCATGGGGCATCCCAGTGAGAGGATGTGAAGCAGGGAGCTCCTGTAATCAGATGCTGGGTTTGGCTTCTTTGTGACACATTCATGGCCTTGCTGTGAGGTTTTGGCCAGGGACCCAGCACTGACTGCTCTTTCCTTTTGCCCACAGGCCTTCTGTGATGATGCCTCTGGGCTGAAGTTTAACCCGGTTCTCTACCCCAAGGTGAAGTAACCTGCCCAGCAGCGATGCTGAGAACCCCACCCAGGGCCACTGCTGAAAACTTTTGGCCTAATTATGTGGGAATTTGGCTTCTTTCCCCCTTCTGCCCTCCTGGTGCTGCCCAGCCACTGTACCCTGCTGCAGCTCCAGTGGGCTCTCCCCACCCTCACCATGAGGAGTGGTGTCACAGCCCCTGGGTTTGGTCTGTCAGCTTTTGAACTACCTGGTGGAACAATTGTTATTTTCTTTCCCGCAGGCATCCCAGATGATAGTGTCCTATGATGAACATGAGGTCAACAACACCTTCAAGTTTGGTGTGATCTATCAGAAGTTCAGGCAGGTGAGTTGCCCCCGTGCCACTCTCATGGAGCACATCCCTGCACCCCAGAGAGCCATGTTTCATGGGCACAGACTCAACCCTGTTGTTAATTCTGCCACATGCAGCACCCCTGTGTCCTCACTGACTGTGTTTCTTATTGCTCGGATGTTTTCCCTGCTCATTAAAAAATGATGTGACTGAAAAATCTCAGCATGGAAATCAGCCCACAAGCTGCTGTAGGGAAAAGCGGATGTGAAAATGGGTTTTAGCAGGCATGGTATTTTAATCAGATATATGTTTAGACAGCAAAACAGCTATGTTTGTCTAGAGGGATTGTGGGCTCTGAAGACAGGCACTTGCTGAAAACGCTGTCATCAGCTGGGGGACTCAGGATGGGGAGTGCAGAGGCAGCTCACCCTCAGAACTCAGCAGGAATTATTCTGACAGGCACTCTAATTATCTTATATATTGCATTTTGGGTTTGATTGAGTGACTCATGCAAGGCCATAATTAGGGTCTCATTGTTTTGAAATACAGCACGTGGAGGGTGATTAGGGCTTGGATTTTCCAGTGGAGGATTCCCTTGTGTTTTGATATTTCCTGGACATTATCCTGAGGTCCTTGCTGTGGGTCAGAAGTAGCTCTCAGCAGCTTTACCCTGGAGTGTCCTGGGGGCCAAGCAGGCTGTGACAGCCCATAGGCAGTGCTGGTGGCCAGTGGTCAGTGTGGGGGTCCCAGCTGGGGAGCAGAGGTGGGGAGTGGCCTGGAACAAGGTGCTGGTCACACCCCAGGGACCCCGTGGATGGAGCAGGAGGTGGCAGGGGATGGACAGGCAGGGAGATGGGGGCTGTCAGCAGATGCACTCTGTGTTTTGCAGACCCAAGAGGAGGAGCTTTTTGGCAATAATGAAGAGAGCACTGCCTTCAAAAACTTCCTAAGTTTTCTGGGAGACACCATAACACTCCAGGACTTCAAAGGGTAAGTAAGATAAAAAGGATGATTTTACAAATACATTAACAAGAGACCATGTCGTATGTAAAAATATCTACGTGTGAGAACAGAAGTCATCTCGCTCATGAGCGGGATATGCAGAGCAGAAGCAAATATAGCTTTGGCTTGTTTTTCAAAGCTGGAGGAGTTTTCAGAAAAAAAAAAAAAATTGGAGCTGCCAAGAGAGAAAAACTTATTTTCCTGCAGATTTGAGGTTGTGCTAAAATCTGGCTGTGCTCAGCCATGGATGGAAGGAGCTGTGAGTGGAAATGTGGGTGCCCCCAGGGCGGTCGCTGCAGCAGCCGTGCTGTGGGCAGAGACCCCCCGCTGCTGGTGAGGGATGGGGAGACCACCAGTGCCACAGCTGGTGCCCACAGCTGTGGTCAGCCCTGCTCTGTGTACAGCCTGTATTTCAGGCTGGTGATGGCGATGCTTGGTTAGAACATGTGACGTGGTTTGTTCTTTCCGTTTGCTCACTTCTAGATAAAGATAAATGAACTGGCCTGCTCCATCCCCTGACAGCCACTGGCACTCTCTGTGAGGCTTTCAATTAATATTTCTTCCTTTCTCTCTCTGCCTTTCCCTTCATCTCCAGTTTTCGAGGAGGCCTGGATGTCAGCCATGGGCAGACGGGAGCAGAGTCTGTGTACACGGTGTTCAGGGACAGGGAGATAATGTTTCATGTCTCTACAAAGCTGCCTTTTACCGAAGGAGACACACAACAAGTAAGAGAGATGAGTTTCCTTGCACAGAAGGGTCTGAGTGGGGATGCACTGACGTTGCCCTGCCCAGTGCCACGGGCATGGCCGAGCCCCAGCACCACGGGAGTGGTTGCTTGGCTTCCCAGCCCGGGGCTGGCACTTGCTTCCATGGGAGTGGAACCGCCTGGCATTGCCAACCCGATGTTCTTCCTTCCCGCTCAGCTCCAGAGGAAGAGGCACATTGGCAATGACATCGTGGCAATTATCTTCCAAGAGGAGAACACGCCGTTTGTCCCAGACATGATTGCCTCCAACTTCCTGCACGCCTACATCGTGGTGCAGGTGGAGAACCCCGAGGGGGATAACACGGCCTACAAGGTGAGGGGAGTCCCAATGGGGACGTGCCTGTTCTTGCTTCAGCATCATTTGACAAGGGCATGGAGTGACAGGACAAGGGGGAATGGCTTCCCACTGACAGAAGGCAGGGTTAGATTAGAGATTAGAAGGAAATTCTTCCCCATGAGGGTGGTAAGGCCCTGGCACAGGTTGCCTAGAAAAGCTGTGACTGCCCTATCCCTGGAATTGTTCAAGGCTGGGTTGGAGGGGGCTTGGAGCAACCTGGGCTAGTGGAAAGTGCCTCTGCCCATGGCAGGGGGTGTGTGAATAGATGATCTTTAATATCCCTTCCAACCCAAACCATTCCATAAATCGATGATCCCAGACCAAGTTCTGGAGGCGACTGCCCAGCCCCTGCCCCATGTTCAGTGACACAACCAGTGTTGGGCCTGGTGGGCTCTCATAGCTTGTACTGAACACACATATGTGTGCACACAGGTATGTTATGTGTGCACACAGGTATGTTATGTGTGCACACAGGTATGTTATGT